TGAAGACATAGCGACAATAGAGTAAAACAAAGATGGTCTGCTCAAACAATGATTGCAATCGTTATTACGATCAATTGAAAAATTGAGCATCATCTCAATTACTATCAGATCACATTGAGGGAGTTGCTTGAGAACACCCTAAAAGGATGTTTTTGAGTAGAAAATCTTTTTTTAACTTTTAATTTTTCAAACGCAGTATTTTCAAAATTGATCATTATTATATGAGTCGCATGAAGTCCACATGAAATTCAAAATAAATCTGATTTAATTTCCTTATTAAATAGTATTACCGTGCTATTTTTAGAATCAGACATATATGCCATATTATTAGTCATTTATGTTAAACATTTAATTGGATCTAATTATTATTGATTACAAGAATTAATAACAGTATGGGCAACTAAAATTTCAGAACATTGAGCTAAATTCTCAAGTTCTAACAAAGTTACTTTTGGTTTATTAATAATTAGATCCCAATACATAAAACATATGACGAAAACCTTGTTATTACCACGTGTTGATTTGTCTGCTATAATCCCAAAAGTAAACTATTTAGAATTTTTAACAAAAAAGCACTATTGAATTAGATAAATATCTGATATGTCTTGATGCTATCCGACAAGTGTATTGACAAAAAACTATTTGTTAGACTCTTCATCTATTAACTATTCAATTACTTTTTTTGTACAAGTTATGGCAAATCAATATGACATTCATCTGATTCACAGACTTGCGTGGCTGTAGAAACAGCTTTAGTACTATACTTATAAGTTATCGTATGGTGGGTAAAAAAATATTAGTACAGTAGTATAGATACAAATCAGTGATTGAATCAAATATCTGTTAGAGGTATGTAGGCCGTGATAGCAGCCTATATATCTCTGACAGATATTTGATTCGATCACTGATTTATATCTGTATTACTGTATCGATATTTTTACCTATCATATAATAACATTATTATCATCCGGTAGTTGTTACTGCCTATAATTATTTGCATATATATTAATTTATAGTTATTTATTATTATTTATTATCACTATTTATATATTTATTAAACTTTTTTTAGAAATAATTTATATATACAGAGCCAATACCAGAAGAAATTGTATTATTACAAAGAAAATCTGTTGCAAAAAATACTCATCGATCTACTTTAAATTGGGTTAATCAGTTTGAGCTATACCAAAAAAATACTAATCTTCTTGGCGAATTATCTGATATTTTAAATCCAAAACAACTTGAAGAAGAGCTTTGCAAATATTTTACTATATGTCGCAGGGCTAATGGCAATGAATATTCTGTAGTATCTCTCCAATCTGTGATCAATGCATTTAATCGGTATTTTAATGGTGAAACAAGTAAACTCAAACCAATTGATTTAAATAACAAAAAGGTGCATCCTGATCTTTGGTGTACATTAAATAAAAAATTAAAACATTGTCTGCAAGTGGGTATGGAGAAACTAATGGATCTGATGCTTTAACGATTGATGAAGTTCAAAGAATTTTATCACATCCCCAAACATCAAAACTTAATCCTAAAGGATTATTAAATAGAGTCTTTTTTTATAATCACTTTGTCTTGGTTTACGTGGTGGAGAATATTTTTTATTAGAACATATATCTTTTAATAAAAATAAAGGATCCAGTAATTATAAAATCAAGCTTTTTTAATCAAAAACTAATCAAAAAAGTTTTGAAAGTCCTGGCATTGCAGAAACATTTTTTATTCTACCTATTTTTGATATTGTTGAATCATATGATAAATATCTAGACAAATAGCTACTTGATGCTGATCCTCAGTTCTACTTACATCCTATAAAAGGAATTAATGATATATTATATAATAATTATATTAATCATATTAAATTATTTAATTTTATTTAAAAATTAATTTTATTATTTATAAGATTTTAAAACCATTAATATTTGGTATGAAAAAAATCATCTTGGAGAAAATTCAATAAAAGCATTTTTTAGATGATTAGTTGAGTCATGCAATATTGATATCTCTGGTCATAAAATTACAAACCAAACTGGACGTAAAACTTTAATTCAAATTTTAAAGTTTCTTGGATTATTTGATTATGAAACAATATCAATTTCACACCACAAATCACAAAAAGGGGTAGCATCTTATGAACATCCAATTAAACATATGCAAGAACTTGGATATCAAGCCTTGAATAGGGCAATTGGTTATCATAATGAAGAAGTGAATAGTACTTTTTTTTTGTTTTAATAATTAGTTTTTTATTTATTGTTTATTTATTTTAGAGTCAATT